AAGCAGTGGTATCAACGCAGAGTACTGCGCAGTTCAATAAGAGGAGCCTTGCTCTTCCCACTCGGATATCTGAAAATGTTTATGAAAACACTGCGCTCCAGAGACGCCTGTTTGTCTGTGGTCTAATTGTAAGCACTCTAATTAGCTTCTACCAATGCTATGAGATGATTCAAGTTCTCGGCGCTTAAAGAAATCCTGTGTACTCATCGTTTTTCCGACCAAGTTCACACCTTACCTTATTGTTAGACCAACAAGGGAATGGTCAGAAATCGATGTGGCCATTCCAGACAAGCTCCATAGCGTTAGATGCAGCATGAAGCGCTGACTCTAAATTTGTCTTCTTTATCTGCTTAGCTTTTCTGGACGAAGTTATAAGCCATTAAAGGCAATTATTTTGCTTAGAAATTATGCGTGAAATTAAAAATTTAGCCGTACAGAGCCTTGTTCGCCTCAATGCTGGGCCAAAACATGCAGCTAGCTTACTCAAAATTTTTGAAGCCAGAAGCCTAGCTAAAAGTGCAACAATGTGCTCAATTTTGCTGTTTTAAGGTATGATTTTTTTCACGATATAACCGCTTGTAGCTTCGTCCACAGAAGCGGGAAGCAGATAAGGAAGACAGATTCGAAGTCAGCGTTTTATGCTGCATTGCATGATATACAGCTTGTTTGTTTGGCCACTTCGACTTCTGACCATTCCCTTGTTAGCTCAGGAGCCTCAAAACTCAGCTTTAGTCTCGCGCAAAGAATTATTATGAGACAAGTTCATTGCTTGTGTGCTGGTGTATCCATGCTGAAGTATTTAGATTTTTGCATGACTACTTGCTTTGGAGCTAAAAGGCTATGAAAATCGTTATTATCACAGTAAACACGGTCATTTGTGCAATATCACGTCTGTGTGGCCAGAACAAACGCTTAGATTGGCAGACCTTTTCTGGCCAACACAGAATCTTACAACCAGAGTTGATAAAGAGGTCAGGCACAAGACTTTCGAAAATGACCCTCCCCTCTCCCCTAAAGGCCCCAAACAAACCTCTTCTTCCTCCTTTTCACCTTCGGATCTCAGAGAGCGACATTTTGGAGGACACCGTCCTTTTCTTAAAAGTATTTAGATTTTTGAAGTCTGTACCCTCGATTTTCTGTGATTGCATTTTACAATCACATGTAATTTGACGAGTGATTTTGATCTGGTCGTGAATGGGTCACGGCACGAGAAGAACGGCGTCAATCTTATGAATATTTTTGAATGAAAACTGTTGAGCGGTACATTATCACACGAGCACCTCAAGCGAAGCTCCTTTTATCATTCAAAACCGCGATCTGTTGAGTCATCAATTTTTGTAAAATTTACAGTAACAAGTCTGAGATATCTGATATAAAATGAACCAGGCGCATTTCGAGAAGGGAAGCGTTTTTCTTCATGCGGCATTGTGTTCAGCTCGTCAAGGTGATTCCTTTTTGTACAGCATGTCCTTGATATTCCGTTTCCAGTTTTCTCAAATTTTCCTGCGGAGGTCCTTTAGCAAGGATCTAACGCAGCGCAAATCCAACGTAAAATATAACAGCAAGTACTCTTCGATAGTACTGTATTACAGATTATAATGCGTTAGAAAGAGTGCAGACGTCTTTTCAAAAGAGGTAGAAACATTGGTGAATTCTGAAAAAATCACGCGTTTACAAATTCTACACCGTAACTTCCTTCGAAATAAACATATTTTAAAAGCGAAAAAAAGCATTGTGCTCAGCCTATCAAGACGAATTTTTCCGTGTACACATGTCCTTAAAATTCCGATTTCTTTGTTCTTGGATCTTTCTGCGGCGTCTCTTCGCAAAGGTCTCTTCGCATTACCCTTAGTAGATTGCAGCATGGATCTTTCTATAGTACAGTTCTTGCAAATTTTAGTGCGCCAAAAAGTAGCCGCAGAATTCTTTCTAAAAGAGATACAAGAGTTGATGAGTTCTTGAAAAATCATGCCGTTTCAAAATTACCCATAA